ATGCCTGGCTAATTTTTTTTTTTCTGAGATGGAGTCTCAGTCTGTCAGCCAGGCTGTAGTGCAGTGGCACAATCCTGGCTCACTGCAACCTCCGCCTCCTGGGTTCATGCGATTTTCCTGCCTCAGCCTCCCAAGTAGCTGGGACTACAGGTATGTGCCACCATGCCCAGCTAATTTTTGTATTTTTAGTAGAGACAGGGTTTCACCATGTTGGCCAAACTGGTCTCGAACTCCTGACCTTAGGTGATCCACCTGCCTCAGCCTCCCAAAGTGCTGGGATTACAGGTGTGAGCCACCACACCTGGGAAGGATTTCTGTTATTAATAGTAGTAGCTGAAGTAGCAGCAGCATCAACCCTACGAAGACTATGACACATATGGGCAAGATGCATTAGGAGAATGCATCTCAGAAAACAGCTTGAGAGAAAATGGCAAGAAAACAAATCTTGTGCAAAAGAGCTTTTCATCAGTTGACTGCATCAAATAGGGTGAGTGTGGAAAAGAGGGTTGAAGAATGTTAGGTATTCTTACCTGCAATAACTGTTAGGGAGGACGAATTGGCACTTGGAATAGGAAATGGAAAGATGTCTCCTGCTGAGGGAGAGCAGTGGGCTGTGTGTCCCCCAGGCCAGGAGCACTGTGATGTAACCGGAGAGCAAACTACAGGATATTAAAAGAGGGGAAACAAATTGTTTAACTCTAGTGCCTGGGAGGGGCAAATTTTCAACATCACAGTTACTTTTGATAATACCATGTATTTACCTTTTTCATTCTAACGTGTAATTAAAACTTTTTGAGGTAAAACAGAGACCTTAATGTGTGATTTCTTTTTCCCCAGCTACCTCTGAACAGTGCCAATGGGATTTATGAGCTACGTGTAACCGGACGTGCCCAGGATGAGATTTTATTCTCTAATAGTACTCGCTTATCATTTGAGACCAAGAGAATATCTGTCTTCATTCAAACAGACAAGACCTTATACAAGCCAAAGCAAGAAGTGAAGTTTCGCATTGTTACGCTCTTCTCAGATTTCAAGCCTTACAAAACCTCTTTAAACATTCTCATTAAGGTAAGTGCTAGACAGAAATGAAGCAAGGAATTCTAGCCATCTTACTAAAGCCCTCTGGGAAGTTCTGCTTGTGTTATTGACACTGGAATATCTTAGAAGTCACCTAAGATAAGCTTCCCTCCCAACACAGAACTCCTCTATTAGTAAAGGAGGTGGTGCATGCAGTGCTGGATTAAGAACTCAGTGTCTTCAGTTCACCTGCTTGAGTTCTAGACCTGGGATCTTCATTGATTTATTCAGTTGTTAAATACTTATTAAGCTTCTGTGTTCCAGGCACAGCCATAAGGCAGTGAACAGAAGCGATTAAGTCCTGCTTATACTGAGTTTATTTTTCAGTGGGTACTAGAAGACAGACATAATAGACATACAAATATATATTTATATAGGGTCAGGTATGTATGTATTTGTGTGTGTGAGAGAGAGAAAAAGAGAGTGAGAAAGAGAGTTTGTGTCTGCTACTTTCTTTCTTTCCTTTTTTTTTTTTTTTTGAGTTGGAGTTTCACTCTTGTTGCCCAGGCTGGAGGGCAGTGTCAAGATCTCGGCTCACTGCAACCTCTGCCTCTTGGGTTCAAGTGATTCTCCTGCCTCAGCCTCCTAAGTAGCTGGGATTACAGGCATGTGCCATCACCCAGGGCTAATTTTATACTTTTGGCAGAGATGGGGTTTCACTATGTTGGTCAGGCTGGTCTCAAACTCCTGACCTCAGGCGATCCACCTTCCTCTGCCTCCCAAAGTGCTGAGATTACAGGCGTGAGCCACTGCGCCAGCATGTTTGCCGCTTTCTCTAGAGTTGTCTGGGAAGGCTGATTTGAGGAGAGCTCCAAAGGCAATAAAAGAAAATAAGCCCAGACAGAGGGGGAAGCATGTGGAAAGGCCCTGAGGAGGAGCTTGTTTGGTGCTTTGGAGGAACAACAAGCTGGTGTGTTCTGGAGCCCAGGGAGCGAGGGGACAGGTGCTAGGAGATGAGGTCATATACAAGTAGGTGGGTTAGGGTGGGGCTCATGCAGGGCCTTAATGGCCATGATAAGGACTTTGAAGTTTATATTAAGTGAAATGTGAATTCACTGGAGAATTCTGAGGAGCGATGATGTAATCTAACTGAACATCTTAAAAGGATCACTGTTAGCTCTAAAAAGAATAGATGCTAGCTGTGTGATCCTGGGGATATTTATTAACCTTCTAGAATCTCAGTTTCCTTATCTGGAAAATATGTAATAATAATAAAACCTCACAAGGCTTTTATGAGGATTAAGTGAGATAATTCAAGTAAACCATTTAGAACTGTGTCTGGCACATAGTACATGCTCATTAAAAGTTAGCCATTACTATTATTTTAGGACTCCATTTTGGAAGGTAGTCATTTGTTCTTTGCTGCTTAATACTCTGATGATCTGGAGGCACTGTGTTTAGCACACAGAGTGCCCTCCTGTGAGAATCACGTTGAAGACAAAAGAGATCCAGCTGGGCCTGGTTTTCTATATTTCAACTGAGAAGAGCACTGAACACTTGACCACTACTTGAAAATAGGGTGAATAACTCATCCCAGTTTCCCTGGTATGTCCCTGATTTTAAAACTGAAAAGTCAGGCCGGGCGCGGTGGCTCAAGCCTGTAATCCCAGCACTTTGGGAGGCCGAGGCGGGTGGATCACGAGGTCAAGAGATCGAGACCATCCTGGTCAACATGGTGAAACCCCGTCTCTACTAAAAATACAAAAACATTAGTTGGGCATGGTGGTACGTGCCTGTAATCCCAGCTACTCAGGAGGCTGAGGCAGGAGAATTGCCTGAACCCAGGAGGCGGAGGTTGCGGTGAGCCGAGATCGCGCCATTGCACTCCAGCCTGGAAAAAAAGGGAAAATCCCGGTTTCAAAAAAAAAAAAAAAAAAAAAAAACTGAAAAGTCCCTGGTCCTGGGAACCTCCTTAGTCTCAGGATGTTGGTTACTCCAGATATTCTAATGAATACTATAGTGTGGAAGATAAAGTCAGGCTTTTTAGTTCAGTATCTTCCTATTCTTAGTTTATTTATTGTTATATACTTGTTGTTGTAAATTAAAACAACAAAACCCAACCAAATAAACATGTATACATTTAACTTCGAGCCAAGATATGTTTGTAGCCAGTATCACATTGGTTAGCATGGTGCTCAATGCACATTTCTTGAATTGAACTAGCATTATTTCAGTGTTTGCCTTTGCTATGTAACAGAATGTCTATAAAGTGGGTTGATATAGTGAATAGCATTTCTAAATTCATGTCACGTTCTGAGCAGAGTTGAACTGACTCCATTCATACCATCCTTCATCATTTATCCACATATATGGAGAGCTTACTGTATACCAGAAACTGTGTACAATAGATGGTTTAATAAATGTGTGGCTCTCTGTGGCTGTTTACATTCAATGTAACAGTTTATGCAGTGCTAACTTTTATCTGCCTGCAATAGTACTGCATAAATTGCCTGTTTAAGATATTAACCTAGAACTAACCCTACAGGTTCTGGATAACGAGTCTGCGTTTTCGTAGTTCTGCCTGTCTGCTCTGCTCTAATATCTTCCTTTGAACCTTTGATTTGCAGATTCTTTGGGCTTTTCTGTGCAGTTTGGGACTTAGCTGACCACATTTGGCTTTCTGGAAAGGGCTCAGAGAGACTTTCTTCTTGTTAGGTCTGGTACTGATATGACTCTCTTGGCCAGGGGAGGGGAGTTTAAACTAAAATACTACCTGGAACCCAAAGTGTTTGGGAACTGCGAGTGAGGAGTGGCCATGCTCTCATCTCTGTACCTAGGAGGTGATGCTCAAATGTGGACTCAGGTCTAGCTGCCTTCCTTCTTGCAACTTGCAGAGGCCAGGTGGGAATTCTTTCAGCTGACAACAGACATTTGGGCCAGGTTTACTAGACTATGATATTTTCTACATCTTTCAGTATAGAATACTTTGTTTCTTGGCAAAACTTTTCAGAAAAAGTTGGGACTTAGCCTAACTAGAGCCCCTGAGACAGCTGTACTCCTTGGTGCAGCACCACCTGCAGGCTGATGTGGAGAAGTGCACCTGTGAGTTAACGGGGCCCATCTTGCCCAACCAGGAGAGGCTGTAGGATGTAGCTAAGATACTGTCACAGCACGTTTAGGGGTGTTCAGTGTTGTTTTTGGGGACCGTGGGGCATCTTTGGGTATTATTCATCTTGCACGCCCCAATAACTGGTCTTCTCAGGAGGGAAAGGGGCTTTGAGGCCTTTCGGCAGTGGAAAAACATAACCTATGTCTCTCATGCTTCTGGCCTCCTCTAGCCAATTTGGCCTGACGCTATGGAAATGAGTGCCTCTGACACTGTGATGGGAGCTGGCATGGCTGGCTTCTACTCTGACCTCTCCTTTAAGAAGTTGTTGGTGCTAGTACGGGTCAATGATCTTGTAGGGAAACAGGTGTTATTGGCTTGGGGGTATATCCTGTGACTGCCTTGACACTCTGTTTTGAAGCAGTGTTGGCCAGGTAAGGAGGCCACCTTATTTAAGTGGTTTGAATTCTCTAATTCTACATGCTGGACAGACATGTCCTTCACATATAATCCAGAAATAGTCGTCACAGACACATTCTCCAGCCAGGGAGCTTACTGCTTGAGACAGTCAGGTATTGTGTGTTGTGTTGAGGCACCTGACAGAGTTCCAGAGCCATCTAAAGGTGACTCAAAGGGCATGCGGGGCCACTATTCCAGGATCTCTGGCCGCAGCTTTTCTGGCTGTGACTGGGGCATCATTCATACTGTACGTGACTGTGTCGTAGCAGGAGATGACTGCATGTAAACGCTGGGCTCTGCTGTGACACCACCATGCTTGCCGGGTCCAAATCCTGATGTGCCTTGTGGACTTCTGGTGTTTCTGCATTCTCTCCCTCTCCGTATTGGTGACAGTAGACCTAGGTCCATGACAGGCTTGGGAAAGCAGAGGAATTATCTTACTCACCCCCAACCCTCCAGATCCCGGGGGTGCAGTCATTAGTGAGGTCAGTTCAGACTTCCTTCGTGTCTGGGAGAAATGTACCCCCTCACTACCATAATGTTAAAGTAGAATGTGGACATTCTGTTTTCCTACACTTCAGGTAGCACTAAAAATTATTATTATTTTTATCTGTGTCAGTTTGACAGAAGAAACACAATATTACATTATTTCCTTAATTATTAGACAGCATATATTTATTGGCTATTTATATGTCCTTCTTTGTTCCTGAGTCTTTGAACTTCATAGCCCTCACATGCATCATGCTGTGGCGGGCACAGTAGGGCCAACTGCTGGTAACAATGCCTGGCCCAGGAGTTTGCCAGGGATACTGTGACCTGCTTGCTATTGACTTGTTTTCGGCCTCTGGTTTGAACAATTGGTTTCTGGCTTATGAGACTGCCTCCTGCACAGGTCTCAGCATTGTACTTATCCCTAACTGTCATATCCTTGCTCTGGGAAAGAGGTTTCTTCTGGTTTCTAATAACTGGCTCCACTCACTACTTCCAGTCAAAGTTTAGAGAATAAGACTAAGGGAAAATATTCAACCCGTTCTCAGTCACAATCTAGTTAGGAATAATAAAATATAGATTTTTGGCAAAATAAAATATGTAAAATAAACATATTTTATTGCCTTTAACAATAATATGTACTCAAGAGAGATAAACTCCAGATATACAGGGGGCTTTCCAGGAAGCAGTCACCTCTGCCTATTGGAGGCATGTATAGGAGGCAAGAAGCTGGAACTGATTTCACCAGTGGGCAAGGAAGGGAGGATTTCTGTGCAGCAGCTGCAGAGACCTAGATGCATGGGCTTTTGGGAATAAATTGCAAACATATCTGTAATGTTTAGAGGAAGATGAGCCTAGAAATGTAGACGGAGTCATATTAGGAAAGGACTTGTAAACTCTGCAAAGGAGTAGGCAAACGAAAGCTGTGGTACCTAGTGGTCTAGCATTATCATCATATGTGATAATCAGTGACTATAAAACGTGTATAGTCACTGCTTTTTATATCCAGGGACTACGCCAAGTATTTCAACCACTGTAACTCATTCTCAGATTTGTTTTCAGATGGATCACACTGAAAGTGGGGAGAATGTGGTGGCGAGGGCAGGACTAGAGGGGGAAGATCAGTTGCATTAGTTAGAAAATAGGACATGGTGGCTAGATTGAGGATGGAAGGAAGGAGACAAATTAGAGATATATTAACCTCACAAAGTCAACAGGGCTGGAAATGTGAGAGGAATCTAGGATGACTGCTGGAATGGTTTGGTTGAAGGCTGCATGAAGGGATTGTTGTTTGGGAGGTTACAGGAAGGCTGAAGTGTTTTTCCTATCTATCTTTGGTTAAACATCTCTCTGATATGCTTTTGTTGCGTTAAAAGGCCGGGCCCGGTGGCTCACGCCTGTAATCCTAGCACTCTGGGAGGCTTAGGTGGGCGAATCAGCTGAGGTTGGGAGTTCGAGACCAGCCTGACCAACATGCTGAAACCCCGTCTTTTAAAAAATAATAATAATAAAAAAAAAGGCTGACATGAGTTTGAATTCTGAATTTCATCTTGCGTTGGTGCCATAATATGAGTCACGCCAGCTACTTGAATGCGTATCTCCCTCTCCAGGCATCAGTTTTCTCAACTACGAAGTGAGGATAACCCTGTTCTAAAGGAGAATGTAATGATTAGAGGTAAGGCAGAGTGCCTGACACACATTGGGTCTTTAATAAATGGGGCCTGTTATTTCTACAGTTAAATTTTCTTTTAACACTGCCACCCCCGTGCTGCTGCCAGGGATTTGGTGATGTACATGTTGTAGAGTTTCATGTAGAAGGAAATAGGGTGCCAGGAATTTAAAAGGTGGAGCAGAATCAAGATGAACTTGGAAGAAATATGAGAAGAGAAGAAACTTTGATTTGTCTTCTTCAGTAATATAGTGCCTACGTTTTCTGAAAACTATCCTTGTGCCATATTTTGGAGGAAAGCCCTGGATCTGGGTGGGAATACCGCAAGGCGCTTTTCCTAACCACAGAGGATGCACGTGTACACGGGCAGCCTCTGCATAGTTACATGTCTGCTTTTCATTTTAGGACCCCAAATCAAACTTGATCCAACAGTGGTTGTCACAACAAAGTGATCTTGGAGTCATTTCCAAAACTTTTCAGCTATCTTCCCACCCAATACTTGGGGACTGGTCTATTCAAGTTCAAGTGAATGTGAGTATAAATATATCTTTTGGGGGACTATTAAAGTGATTTAATTAGGTCATGTGGGGAAATAGCTCTAAAGTCATTTATTCAATGAAGAGAAAAAAGTTAATGTGAATATCTAGGCATTGAAGTGGTCTATTTTTAATTTATGATGTTTACAAGGGTTTATTTAGCCTTCATTCTAACATACTAGAATTTCCATCCCTTTTGTACTTTTCTGTGGTATAATGTGTAAAAGTTAAAACTTTTGCCATTTTCGTACACAATGTTTACTTATTAGTTTCATGCATTGTTTTAAAATTAAGTAATAAATACATAGCTATTATTTGGCAAATTTTTTATCTTAGAATAATGACTCCTAATGAGTGATTAAACTAACCTATTTTATCTTTGTTTTAAGAAACAGTGACTTAAATAGCCATACCAACCTCTGTTCCCCATTTCTCCCTAGTTTCTACACCTATTGCCTTTACTTGCAGCCAACGTGTATAGCTCTGAAATCTAAATGGAGGGCATTAAATGGCATATAAATGTAAATGGGGGGCGTTCATTAAAATGCCCTCCCTTTCTTTGTGCCTCAAGTTTTCTCCTATGTATCACTGTGTAATACTTGAAAATTCATTGAATGCTTTTCTTTGGAATTAAAAAAATAGAAACTCATGAATCAGAGCTTTAAAAATAATTATTTTAGAAAAGGGCATCTTACTATTGACATTTTGGAGAAAAATTCTTTGTTGTGGGCTCTGTGCTGTGCATTATAGGTCATTTAATAGCATATCTGGCCTCTGCCCAATAGAAGCCAGTAGTAGCTCTCCTCTCCCTATAAGCTGTGACAAGCAAAAATTTCTCTAGGTATTGCCAAACATCCCTGGGAGGAAATATCCTCCCCCTGCTCAGTTGAGAACCATTGCAGCTGAAGGAATAATCATTCATTAGCCTAAGAGCTGAGGCAAAATAAAAGTACCCAAGATTTAATATGTGCCCTGCTTTTTACTTGCATTGCCACAACAGTCCCGAAAAACAGGTTTTATTAAACTTAATTTCCAGATGAGGAAAATGAAATGTGGAGAAATTTAGCAACTTGCCAAGAAGTTGGAGCTGGGAAGCAAAAGAAGCAAGATTTAAATTCAGGTCTCTGATGGCAAAGCCCAGCCTCCCTAGCTGACCCCATGACCCTCTGACCCCAGGATCACAGCATCATGATAGAAATACTTTGAATCTGGGCCCTGGTTAGAAGATAGAAGACACAGTAAATCCTTATCCAATTTCAAAGCAGTGTTTCTTAGATCAGCTAAAAGAAAAATGGTAAATTATCAGGTTAGACGTTTGAAATTGCCATTTTTGTGGGTCAGAAATACCAAATATTAGCAATTCTAGATGCTTCAATCTAAATAGATTACCTTCATTCAGACAAACATGTGCTATGGATAAGAGGAGCTTCAATAGACAAATGGAAATATATGGATATTTCACATCTTAGAATTGTGATTCCATTTCTAGGGCATTCAGAAATAAGCAACCCAGAGGGAAGAACTTGGCTTAGATTTTGAAATATTAAAACATTTAATTTTCTTGATTTCTTTTTTGGAGTTATGTTCTTACTTTTGCTCTATTTAAAAGTAATGGGAGGCATGGTGGCTCACACCTGTAATCCCAGCACTTTGAAAGACCGAGGCAGGTGGATCATCTGTGGTCAGGAGTTTGAGACCAGCCTGGCCAATGTGATGAAACCCCGTCTCTACTAAAAATACAGAAATTAGCTGCGCATGGTGGTGAGCACCTGTAATCCCAGCTACTCAGGAAGTTGAGGCGGAAGAATCACTTGAACCTGGGAGGTGGAGGTTGCAGTGAGCTGAGATCACGTCACTGCACTCCAGCCTGGGTGGCAGAGCGAGACTCCATCTCAAAAAAAAAAAAAAAAAAAAAAGATAATGGGAACTTCAACATTAAAAAGGAAGGATATTGTGACAATGCTCCAACTTGGATAAAACTTGAGGACATTATCCTGAATGAAATAGCCAGTTACAAAAAGACAAATACTTTGAGATTCCACTTATATGAGAGATTTAGAATAGTCAGAATTGTGGAAACAGAAAGAAGAATGCTGGTTGTAGGGACTGATGGGAGGGGAAAGTGGGGAGTTGTACATTTTCAGTTTTGCAAGATGAAAAAGTTCTAGAGATCTGTTGCACAACAATGTGAATATACTTAACACTAATGAATAGTGCAGTTAAAATAGTGAATATAGTTAGTTCTATGTCATATGTATTTTGCCACAATGAGACATAAAACAATTTTAAAAAGTAATGACGTAACTGTTTTATGTGATATAAATTGGTCATTTAGCATATAATATGTAAACCTTTAAATTTTTCTATAATATATATTTATGTGACATATAAACATGTAAGATATAATCAATTTTTTTCCTGTGTCTAAAGGGGAAGATATGTTAAATGAAATTCATGAAATTGTAGCACTATTGCTGAGCGTTGAGTAGGTAGGACTTGTGTGTGTGAATTGACCTGTGTGAATGAGAACAGTGCTGGAGGTACAGTCTACTCTCAACATTTGCTTCATGGCCATCCTGCGTCTTTATGGGTGTTTGTATGATATGTTTACCAATTTTATTCTTTTTAATTTAGCAGGAGCTCTACTGAATGTATGATGTGGTTTTAAAGAACATTGGTGGTAATATTATGAAAGGGGTTCATACTTTTAGAGAACAATGTATTGCATAACCATTAAAATCATGCACAATTTACAGTGTGATCTTTGCTTATTTCCTTATTTATAACAGTGTAGTAATAACCACTGTTATAAATGGAAGCTTAGAGCAGTGGGTGATGATTTCTAGGGGAAGTAGAATTCTTTATATTTGAGCTTATAGAGAAAGTGAAAAGAATAGGCATTTGTGAAAAATTTGTGTAGGAGCAGGGAAAATAGAAGGGAATCTTATGTGTCTGGGGATTTTGGAGAAGTTGATATTACTGGAGTATGTGGTGAATGATTGGAGATGCAGATTAGGAAGCACATTATGAGTTTAATTTGAATATGATTTTCAGTTCCCACTTACATTTTCCAGAATCTTTTTTTAATCCATCCATCTGTTCATCCATCCATCCATCCTTCCATCCACCCACGAACCCAGTGTGTATTAAGGACTTACATGGCTGTGATGAATACAAAGAAGTTAAACAAATGACTTCTATTTTCAAAGGTCATTGTTGTGGCGACATGAATAATATGATAAAAATTAAATGACATAAGGGGGACAGACAAACACAAGACAGTGCAATGGCAGAGGAATTGTAAAGTGCTCGGGCCGGGTTGGTGATAAAGAGGGTTTATTGTTAGCACAAGCACCGATGTTTTGGGGCCAGCTGCTCCCTCTGTCTCTCACAGTCTGCCCTGTTCTCCTTTCACTCTTCTGCCAACCTTTGAGGAGTCCTTCAGTTCTTCTCACTCCATTGGCTTAGCTGAATAATCATCATGCCCAGTGTCTTTAAAGCAGGCCTCTGCACGGGTGGCTGGCAGCCTATGGGTGGGCTGCCCTTGGGTCAGGGTCTCCATTGTTGGTCCACTCAGAAACACCTCTGCATGGTGACCAGCAAGAGCAGTTTTAGCTGGATGACAGGCGCTGAGGGATTAATTTGTTTGATGAATGGTGGACAGAATAAGTACCAGAAGAGAGGGGGATAGACTAATAGAGAAAGACTTTGCAGAAGATGTGAGATTATACTTTGAAAGATTTATAGGATTTCTCATGTTGTGGACTTGGCTTGTCATGTTGCTTTTATAGAAAAAAAATAATGCTCTTAAGGAAATTTAGGTCATTAAAAAATTAAAAACATTTGCAAGATCTGGCCCTTGCCCACCTTTTCAGCCTTGTAAAGTGCCGCCCTTCCTCTTGAACTCTATGCTTTAGACATCTTATGTCCCTTAGGTTTCTTAAGCTCACCTGTCTGTCTCATTCTGGAGCCTTTTCTCCTGCTGTTCCCTCTGCTGGGAACGTTTTTTCTTCCTTATTCTCGCTACTTGCAGGCATTCTCTAGAGTGGCCTGGCTGTTCCAGACATTCCCATAGTACTGTGTGCTTCCCTTAGTTCATTCATGTTACTTTCTTTTTTTTATTGGAGCTTTTTTTTTTTTTTGAGACGGAGTTTCGCTCTTGTTACCCAGGCTGGAGTGCAATGGCGTGACCTCGGCTCACCGCAACCTCCGCCTCCTGGGTTCAGGCAATTCTCCTGCCTCAGCCTCCCGAGTAGCCGGGACTACAGGCACGTGCCACCATGCCCAGCTAATTTTTTTGTATTTTTAGTAGAGACGGGGTTTCACCGTGTTGACCAGGATGGTCTCGATCTCTTGACCTCGTGATCCACCCGCCTCGGCCTCCCAAAGTGCTGGGATTACAGGCGTGAGCCACCGTGCCCGGCCATCATGTTACTTTCAATTGGTGGTCCCTGATAGACGGTAGCCTTTGTAAAACTCCTGACCTTCTAGTCTTGCTCAACCCTCTGTTCCTGGGACCAAGTTCAGTGCTTTTTCATGTAAGTAGAAAGCAGTATTTGCTTAACCGAATGTATGAAAGGTATATAACAGTCATTTGTCTTTAACCAAATAAAATTTTTGCTTTTCTATATTCTATAAAGCATCTTTATTTTTTTTGAAGACAAGTATATTGATTAGGTACTCATCATTGGAGATATGTTAATTTAAATGAAAAAAAAATCCCTTAAAAAATGCCCTTTTAGGACCACCAGGGGTCAGTATAACCAAGGAAATGTTACAAGAAGCAACTTCAGCCTTGGTCTCTGAATTTTGTTTTTCTTTGACGACTGCACAGCATCAAAAGACTGTATATTGCTTATTATTAAACCCCTTTTCTTTTAATAGTGAATAATGACATGGAGGAAATGTATTTATTATTTAAACAGCCCACCATTAGAGACTATATGTTTATTTTTCTGAGGCAATCACCATTCTCAATATAAAACTCAGGGAGAG